GTGTCATTTTGATTAATGGTTGTAATGTTCCAGTCTAGGGTAATAACACTGCTAGTTTGCTGTCATGTTGATTAATTGCTATAATGTTCCAGTCTAGGGTAATAACACTGCTAGTTTGTTATGACATCCTATTTCTAATGCATGTCTACCCCATGTAATGTTCCAGTCTAGGGTAATAACACTGCTAGTTTCCTATGACATCCTGTTTCTAATGCATGTCTACCCCTGTAATGTTCCAGTCTAGGGTAATAACACTTCTAGTTTCCTATGACATCCTATTTCTAATGCATGTCTACCCCTGAAATGTTCCAGTCTAGGGTAATAACACTTATAGTTTACTATCATGTTGATTAATGTTTGTCATGTTGCTATTTCTAATACATGTCCAACAAAGAAAAGATGAAGAAAGAACCAACCAGACCAACTCAAAACAAGTTGAGCCTAGATTGTTAATACTATTATGTCATAGAAGTATGTTTAATACTCTGTCATAGAAGTACATTGTTAAACAAAAATAAGATTCATAACTGAAATAGTAACAAAAGATAAATCGATCATCAAAGCTTAAAATACATTTCGAAAATCAACTAAAATCTGAAGAGAAACACATAATTGAAGCAAAAGATAAAAAATCTCAAGTCCAAACCAAACAACGACGACGGCGACAATGATGACGACAAAGACGATGACGACGTGGCGAAGAGGAGTAGAGCTCGAAGATGAGGAGTAGAGCTAAGAGCATTTGATCAAGGTTCGTTCGAGGTCTTGAACAATCCAAAAAAAAAAAAAAAAATCAATAGAAGCACGATTTTAGAACAAGAAATCGAAGGTGAAATATTGAAAATTGTAGATTAAAGATGAAGAATATAGTTGGACCTGAGATTGAGCTGCAATGGAAGCTCCTCTTGCTCCAACACCAGAGAAAGCACCAGCGAGAAAGGAGAAAATAAATTTGATTTGGTTTTTTTGGCAGATCTGGTTTTTTGGCAAATATGATTTTTCTCTCTCAAATCCATAATACAAAGGCAATATAGGTATTTAACACACACAAATAAACTAAAAAAACAGCTATTAAATTGAAAAAATTGACAGCTGTCAATTTTTGGGTTTTTTTTTTGTGTGTTTATAGTTTTTAAATGATATAGGATTTCTTTATAAGACTATGTCTAAGATTGGGTATATAACTAAATTTCTATTAAATATATAATATAAAATATACCCATCACTAAGTTATGTCATATAGTTTTTGGTGTTGAGTTGATGATTTGATTGTGTTCAGTTTTTCCATACTAGCTGATGACATTTAGTTTTTATTTTTTATTTTTTTTTGGGATGTTGCTTACTACAGAAACTACCGTTGCAATATCATAAACTGCATGGTGTTTCGGTCTAGTGATTCTTTACTAGTATAAATTGTATTCTGTTTTTGGGTTTTGTTTTCATTTTCAAGGGTAATGGAGGTTTGTGTTATGGCAAAGTGTACTTATAAGTCCGAAACAGTTAGAATTGGTTTTTGTTTTTGTTTTTGTTTTTTGTGTGTGCAATTTTTGTTTGCATTAAGGATTTGGTACAAATCGTGCTCGAATCGGTGTTGAAATGATTTTTTTAAATAAATAAAAAACATTTGATTGTTAATATAAATATTGTTTAACTAAATACATATCATAAAAACAAGTTTGGTATAGTGGTTTGTGATGGCCAACAAATGGGCGGTGGGTGGGGAAGGTGGATTGTTGGGCATGTGACATAAGGTGATCGACTTCAAATAAATTTGTTAAATTATAAAGGTAGTGACATAGTATGTAATTTTGAATTTTTTTATATTACATTATTGTAAAATTACACTCTACTTTTTAGCCATTGACCTCAAGTAAATTCTATGAAATTAATTTCCTATCTATCACAATAAGGAAATCCCTATTAATTTTAAACCAAAGCTCCCTATTATTTATAATGAATAAGCATGCATGCATTATGAAACATGATGTCGAAGGGCAACAAGACATAGCTTCTATTTGTCAATATCGGCAACCTTTTAACATTATATTAGTTATCACCAGTTTTACAAGTTGTCATATTTAAAACAGATCTCAGAGTAGAGGTGGACATTTATGCCCATCAATCCGAATGCTTAGCATACTAATTAAATCGACAGTTCATTTTGGTATGACAATTATTTATTTAATTTTTGAATACCGATTCGATTCAAACAGAAAGCCTCGGTCAAAATAGTGGGTTGGATTATACCTAGCTTGTGGTAAACTTTACGAAACCAAGTTTTATTATATTGTTATTAGGTTGATTTGGGATTGTACTTAATTCTCTTCCTGATGAAATGTGAAGGTGATAAATTGATAATTGTGAATTATTATTATTTTAAACCTAGAAAGTTTCAACGAAGGCATAAGCTATAAACTTGGACAAGTTTTGTAATTAAGTGAGAATTTAAACACATATGATATCCAGGGTTTAGGCCATCCCCAATGGGGATCAGTGGCGGATCCAGGAAATTTCCTTCCGGGGGTCAACGTTTAAAGGGTAAAATTTTTTTATACAAAATATACCCATAAAAATGAAACGATAATATTATCATTCATAATTAATAGAAAAAACCACATTACAATTGTCCACGACGAGTTTTCATATTCTGAAAACGTAGCATTATAGTTTCATTATCAATACAAGCAAATACATCTTTCTCAATATAAACAAGTAAGCTATCACTCAACCATTGATCTCCCATTCGGTTGCGAAGTGGACCTTTCACAATATTCATAGCAGAAAATGCTCTCTCCACAGATCAAAGTGGTGACTCCGTACGAGAGCAGGGATGTTTTTTTTTTCTAACAACCAAATAAAAGGATTTGTCAACCCCTTTTGTTTTATTGTTTTATTGTTTTCTTTTTTCTTTTTTTTCTTCTTTTTCTTCTTTTTGTCTTTATTTTTTTGCTTTCATTTGTTATAATTTACCTTTAGAATTACTACTTCAATTTTTCTATGTGTTCTTTTAATTTTTGAATTATAAATTGGGTAGAAATGTTGATTTTTGATTTTTTTTTTAAAATTATAATTTACCTTTAGAATTATTACTCCAAATTTTGATTTTGAATTTTTTTTTTTTGGGTATGTTCATTAAAAAAAGCTAACATAACATAAACATACAATAAAACAAACTAAGGGCATGTTTGATGACCATTTCAATTTTAGTTTTCATTTTTTGTGTTAGAGTATAGAGAAAAAAGAGGGATAACGGAAGTGAGAATAAGAGTGGAGATAGGATTGAGAGGGAAGATAAGAGGGGAGGATGGGAGAGAGGAGTAACAAAAATGAAAACAAAACTAAAAACTGAAATCTATTTGAAATTGTTTTTACTTTCAAGTTTTTGTTTTCACTTTTGTTAATTATCCCTCCCATCCTCCCCCCTCATCCTCACACCCTAAGAATCACTTTTGTTACTTATCCTTCACATCATAAAAAAGTTTATTTAGAGCCTCGGAAGTAAAGCCCCCATTGTGGGAAAAATACTTTTAGAGCCCAGAATATTCAAACGGAGCTTTAAATAGGTCTCTATAATTTAGAGGCCTATTTAAATACTATGATTGGGATGCCCTTAGGGGCCTCCTTCAACCTGAATGAGGGTATGTATTTTCATTTAGTTGACTTTTGAAATCAGCAGACATTGCTGGGTTAAGAAGCCAACTTCTCTACTGCCATAAATGAGAATAAGATATTAATTTGAGTAGAATTATACTTTTCAAATGTTTTGGTTTTGAGACCAAAGTATAAAAATAAACAACACAAGCAAAGCATAAAAAAACTGGAAGAGTTTGACTTTTATATTGAAGTCAAGACTATGAAGATAACATTGAATTGTAGAGGAGAAAACATATATGGACATGAATATACCAATTAGTCAAAGCTCAAGATGTAAGTAGTGGCAAAATTTTAAAAAGGCTCCAAGTTTTTATGAGCGATAAGTTTGACTAGTTGAGGCTGACAGAGGTGACTCGTCATCCCCAACAGTTGAACAGGAAAAAAAGGAGATTTGCCTGGAATTGGGTTTAATTTAATTGGAATTGAATGAGTTTGTTTGTACTGGATAGGACTGGCTATGTATAATGTATCAAGTTATATCTAAAATTGTCGTATTCAAAGTCAAAACAAGTGCGTATATAAAGTCGAAGCAGTATGTACATGCCGTATACGTACTGTATATACAGTATACCGATGATGGGCGCTTTTAGCTTGTGGAGGCAAATGAAAATCCCAAGTCTTAGTTGCCTTCCATTCACTAAACTAAATAAACGGAACTTCCCAAAATTGACGCCCAATTATTTTGAGAAAATAAGGTGGAAGCTCAGCACAAGTGGCACAAGCTCTCTATAACTCAGCTAATTAAACCAATTGCTAAAAGGATCTCCCTCCCACTCCCAGCAACCAATAACATTTATATATAATACATTTCTGCAATTAAATTCTAATATTATTATCTTTTGATCGATTTAGAGAAGAGAGCCACCCATCTCTCATATATAATGTGAAACCGTGAATATATAATCAACCAGGCATGCAAAAAAGCCAAAGTGAAAGAATAAATAATGAAAAAAAAAATGAGTCTTGCTTGACCGAGCGCCAACTGCGCCGGCGTTGCGTGGGCCAGCCGACAAATGCGCCCAAGAGGACAACCAAAAACTCAAAACTTGGAAAAGCCTACAAACATCTAACAACTCTTCTCCATCGTCTAGCTCTCTCTGTCTCTCTCTCTCTCTCTCTCTCTCTCAACCATAGCAAGCAACAAGCCCTTTGCAATTCAACATGGATCACCCCCATCCATCTCTTTATCCCAATTATATTCCCCGCTGATGGTATCTATGTCAATATTGTCAAGTCAACGGTCAGAATAGTTGGCTTGCCTTAATCTCATCTCTCTCCATTTGCTTTCTATATATCTCATCTCTACCTCCCTCTAATCAAATTTTATATCCCATCTCTCTCTCTCTCTCTGATATGCAATAGGTTCTAACATATACAGTGACCCTTTCGACATCGTAATTAGTTCTTAATTAACTGATTGATTTCCTTTTTTAGGTCATTATTAAGACTAGTTAGCTGAGGCAACTGATTCATAATGAACCCTGCAAAGCTCCAGCTGGATGAGGATCGTCAACATTCAGTTAGGAGAGATCAGATGATGATGATGAATGGCAACC